ATTCTGGGATTCTGTGATTTGTTTGCTTCAGCTGAGAACATCAACCCTTTGTCATGGTGATTGTCGCTTGTAAACCCAAATATTTATGGAAAACTATCCTGGCAGAACAGGAGCTAATTTTTGAAATTCATATCTATCTTCTATCCCCATCCCTGGAAGTGTCCAAGGCCAGGTTGGACAGGGCTTGGAGCAATCTGGTCTAGAGGAAGGTGTCCCTGCCCATGGCAGGGGGTGGAATGAAGCTTTAAGGTCCCTTGCAAGCCAAACCAGTCTGAGATTCCATGACTTTACTTTTTACCATCTTTAGATAGTGAGTTGAGTTAGAGGCAGACTCTTGGGAGCCTGCCTTTCTTCCAGCACCCAGATGGTGCCCCGGGGTTGGATCAGTGCAGGGTCACCAGCCCTGCACACTGGCACATCTCCCAGTGGCAGCAGCAAGTTTTTGTCCTTGCTTTCAAGGTTCTGAGGCCACATATTTGAATATTTTTTACATTCAATATTTTCTTTAGACGTAACATTTATAGGTGGGTTTAAATCTTTAAAACAGGGACGCAACTGAAATTTTAGAAGTAAAACAGCTGAACCCCTGATCTCTTATTCCTTTAAATCCCAATAGATTCGCAGGGACCGAAACATTTAGGATCTGGCTTTTTCATCTAAACACAGCCTCAGATGTGCAGGTGCAACTCATTAATGTATTGGATTTGCACCTACTTAGGCCAAGGCTGGAATTTTTTAATCTGTCTTGACTTCACAGACAGTTGGTATGTGTCAGTTATGTCATGCCAGACCCCAGTGGCGAGGATTTTCATCTCCCAGTGACTTCAGAAAGGTGTAATGATGCAAAATTTGATAAAAGTGATTATGCCAAACCTTGTCAATGTTGTAAATAGTGGGATCACTCCTTGAGAATCTGAGTCTGGAGTAACTTTGCCTTCATCCCTCCCTAAGGCCTGTTTCAGACTAGGGGGAAGGGAATTGGATGAACTGCAGCCAGTGGAATATTGAATCCACGTTACTCTGCACCCAATCTCCTCCTGCTGTGCAGGAGCCACCAGCAGCATTATCAGGGTGCATGATCCCCCCTCCAGCTGAACACAGGCACCACAACCAGGGGCCATTCACCAGGGGCAATAAACGCACCATTTCATGACACAATTAACAACTGATCACTGCATTTAGCACTTGCCAAAGGGAAGCCAAGCTCTGCCCTTCTATTTATCTGCAACTCCACAAATGTGCTGAGAACGGGAAAAAAAATTTCCTCTGCTCACATAAGAGAGGAAAAAATCTTAACAGGCTTTGTTTAGAATAGATTTTAGGGAAATGGAGGGGGAAATCCTTCTTTCTAATTTGCCATGACACATTGCCAGTCTACCAACAAATCAGACCATGAATGAAACCATTCTCAGCCTCCTGGACATGCCACGAATTATATTTGATTTCTTCTAAAGGACCGTTCTTTATTTTAACCCAAAAATGTTGGGGGCTGCCTCACATACCTGCAAATGTCACCATCCATTCCACTCACAGGGATTTCTGTGCACTCCCCATTGTCTATGGCCCACTGCTGTCCAGCTCCACAGCAGCTCTCAATCAATTCCTTCGTGGAACCTGTGGAAAACATACACCCAGAATATTTTATATGGAATGTTTCCTTAACCGAGGAGATCTTCAAAATTGCAATAGTTCAGCCTTTTATTTTCCTTTATTTCCACATTTCATTTGGTTAAATGCAAAAAGAAAGAAACGGGCAACTGATACCTGAAGCATCTTGATATAACTGATCACCTGGTGATGCCTTTCAGGAAGGAACAGCAGAAGGAAATTAGAGTTTTAAATACAATAAAAGACATAACTGGTTTGAAGAAAACTCCACATTTGACATCTCTGAACAAAAAAACCTGTGAAAAATCAAGCTTGGTTACCAAGCTGTAACAGCACCCTCACTATCACAGGCTGGGTTAGCTGACAGTGTCCCAGCCCTGGAGGGTTCAGCTGGTTTAAAACCATAATGAAAAGGGTTTGAGGACATAACTCTGCCTCTGCTAATGAGCTCCCGTAAAACACTGGCACCAGGATGCAGTGAAAGAGATGGATGTGCAGAATTGCTGCACTAGTTTTCACATTTTTCCTTGTGGATTTCCAGCTAAGATGTAAATGTGCAGGTTACAGTGAAATATGACTTAATTTGCAATATCCTACATCCCTGCTGTATAGAACAGACTAGGGCACATCACACTGGGCAGGAACAGTGTGTTTTGGAGCCTGGACAGCAGTTTGCTTCATGGAGGGACACTTGCCACGCTCTGGGGTGCAAACACCAGGCACTGCCACAAACCAGCTGAGGAGATGCCAGTGCCAGGATCCTGCTCCGTGGGGCACCGTGCTGGGGTATTGGGAACATCCCTCCTGCAGCTGCTCCTGCTTTGGGAGCAGTTACACAGGTACCAGGAGAGAAAATGATTCAGAGACGCCTTTTAGAGAGACATGAAGTGCATTACAAGTGCTTGGGGGCTGTGATTTTGATCTACATGTCAATGCACAGAATAAAGATGGTCTATCAGGCTCTCCAGAGTCCATGGCCCTGTGCTGAGCTGGAACAGCACCTGCTCTCTTCCTTGGCCCATCAGAAGTGCTCCAGTTCCTCTTAAAGCCATTTACATGGATATAAGGAACATTTTGTGCCTTTTATTCATATTTCCAGGCCAGCCTCTGGCATGGTTTGGTGTTACCAATGAGAAGGAAGAAAAGAAAACCAGCCCCAAGTTGATGGAGATGTGTGGGTGCAATGGACCTTAGGCAGCCCTAGAGCTGAGCTCTCCTTGCCCAAGGCCCAGCACTCCACACTGCAGAACTATGTCTTTTCAAGAATCTATAGCCAGTTTTTACATCCATCACTTCTGATCGATCTAAATCACTTCTGCTTGCAGCAGGAGGGTGGAACCACTTTCTCTGCAAGGATTTTAGGAAAAATGCCATTGCTGCAAACGGCCCTGCTGAAGGTGCAACGCTCTCCTGACAAGACTGGGCAACAAAACTTAACAACTGGGAGCCAAGCTCTGCTGGTGTGGCCTTGCACAGTTTTGATCTGTCAGGGAACTGTGTTCAGGTTGGCAGGAGGACTCTGCAGTCACCCCATGGGAACCCAGACCCAAACCCTCTCCTCCTCTGTGTTAACAGCAGCATTAGAGGGCAGCTCCTCCAACACGTCTGGTTTGATGAAAAAGTTCACTGAATCCTTGCTTTTGTCTGCATTTGGTGCACGGTACCAAGTCAAATAATATTTCCTTGCAAAATTGTAACGCTTAACTATAAGTGAGGCATTTTTAGAAAGGGCTGCATCTCAAAACAGCTGGGCCTCCACACTGCACAATTCAGAAAAACACAGACAACCCAAGTTACCAAACATTTCTGCTGCCACAGAACAACAGAGTGGGGAAGGCTGGAAGGGACCACAGTGGGCCATGCACTTAAAACAGTTATTCTGTGTTTCAAACAACAGTAGGAGTACTTTTTATAGTGTGTTGTAAGGCTAAGCAGTCATTAGATAGCAAGAGTAAGAAGTTTAAGTGAAGTGCTGTCTGCAATGTTAAAAAATATTGGCACTTACACAAATGGTTTGGGTTGGAAGGAACGCTGAATCTCCTCTCCTTCCCCCCCCCCCTGCCATGGGAAGGGACACATTCCACTAGACCAGGTTGCTCCAAACTCTCCCCCACCCTAAATAATACAAACCTCCCCAGCAGAAGGCTATTCCTTTGCACTTTCAACTGTTAATTTAGGAGAAAATAGTAGATTTTGGAAACCAAAAAGGTCTCCCCAGTGTGGCTTGCTTTACAAAAAGCAACTAGGAAAAAGAAAGCCATACAAAATACAACGTTTGTGATCGTTAAATGCACATGAGAAAACAACTTTAAGAAACTGTATCTAAGAGAAAACAGTCCGTGTAAAATGCCTTCCCCATCAGTGAGTGGGATGGATGAGGGGAGGAGGTTACACAGTGACAAGACACAGCTGCAGCCACCAGTGCCCAAACCAGTGGCACCTGTGGCCTGGAGCATCAGCCCCTGCACTCCCTCACCCCCTGTGCCCCCCTCAGCCCTCGCCCTTCCCTGGGTTTCGTTGGTGCATCAATAAACAGCAACCCCAAAAACACAGTCACAGTTTGATATTTGTCACTAAGAAGGAGAGTTGGGCTTCCAGGACGAAAATCAACCTTTTTGCACCCCCAAACTCCAGCTGTGTGACTGCCCGGGGTTCCAAGGAGAAGGGGAGGGGTGTTACTGCGAGGAATGCTGTGGGGAAATCCCAGCCCTGCAAGGGCTGCAGAGAGATCCTGGCACAGGGAGCTTCATCTCCACCCTGAGTCCTCACTTAGATGCTGAAAACAATTAGGAGCAAGGGGGCAGGAGGGTGCACTTCACCCTGTTGTGAATTTTATTTGTTCTCTTTGGGGAGTGTGGTAGTTTGGCCTAGGCCTTCCTTGGTGACCAGCTTGTAACCAAGGAAGTGCCCAGATTTACCCGCTATTCCCTACGATTTTTATGTAAGCTGGGGTATAAGAAGAAGGGAGGAAAGACCTTCGCTCTCTTTCCTTCCGGCGGCTTTGGAGGTGCAGGTTTCCCTGCTGTTGAGTCTGTCGGGTTGGGGAGTGAGGCCTGGTAAGGCCTTGTCGACCTTGGGAGGTGGAGGCTGCCGGCAGTCGCTCCAGCGTGACTCTCCATTGTCCCAAGGAGAGTAGTAAGATATTCTCTGCTAATTCTTTTAGTTGATAGACCTTGGGCTACTGATCGGGATAATATATATATATATATATTATTTTGGTTTTTGTTCTTCCCTTCCCCTTTCCCTTTTCCCTGTGAAATCATATATATATTTTAACTGTATATAACTGTAAATACAAGTGTAAATATATTTATATACATTACTTTGTCTCTCTCTCGTTTTCGGTTCTTTTGGGGTTTTTTCCCCTCTTTTCCCTTGGTTTGGGGGGGGGGGACTCCTTGTGGTAAGGTTTGGAGACTTGGCAGGGAGCCAGCTCCAAACCTTAACAGGGAGAAACAACCCAACCCTGATTTGAAGCCCCTTTGCTCTCCCCCCATGTGGCCCAGCTGAGGGGGTTTGGTGACCAAAGCCATTCCTGTCCCCCTGCACTGCCCCAGTCACCTCACACCCCAGGGCACCAGAACAAACTGCAGCCAGCCTGCAGTCCATGCAATGCCTTCATTTCACACAGCACATTAACAATGGTAAATATTCCTGAGCTATATCAGGGGTCAGAGCTGCTCTGTGACACGAGAGCATTGATCTGATCAGTTAAACTGGCAGGAAATACACCCAGCGCCAGGTAATTACAAAACATTGCTATAAAATACTTTTTTAACATCGTTTTAATTCACTCCCTTGGTGGAAACTCCACTCATTTAACCGAGCGCTGAAATACATTTGTTGCTCTTGCTAGAACACAAGAATAGAGCAGAATTTACTTATCTATATTGAAGTAATCTACATGATTTATAACGCAAATAAAAGTGAGTTACTCATTCCTCACTAAAGATTCAATATCAGATTGCTCTCCTGAAGAGTCACACTATTAAACAGTCACATTTGCAAAATATATTCCCTTTTGTTGTGATCTTATGAATAATTAAATCCTGAATGAAGTTATAATAAAATGATCAAATACTGCATTTTATCTCAACCAGGAATTAAAAAAAAAACTAAAATAACTTATAATAGGGCTCACAGTCATTAGCATGGATTTGTAATATTTTAATTCTCCATTAGCAAAACCAAATATATACAACTGGATACATGCACAAGACTGAAGATCACAGAGCTTCTACTCTGGATGAAGACTTTCAGCTCTGTGTATAACAGACTTTGAAATACTTAAACATTCAAACAGAGTTTTGTTTATTCGGGGCTTCCATTATATTAAGCAGATTTAGAAGCAGATTTGCATCTGCTCAGGGAAAACAAAGTCATTTTATTTGAGAACTCCATAATCCTGATTTTTTTAACACTGTGTGACTCTGATAATTCTTAGAGTAATTTCACAAGACACCTGTTAATAGATAATTTGCTATTTATAGATTTCTTGACTAGGGAAAAAAAGCCTCATTTCTGTCAGGCTGTATCACAGAACAGCAGCACTTCTTGCAATTCAGGAACTCATTCCTGCAATTATCACTTTGAAGATATGAACTGAAGAACATTCTGGCCTAATCTCCAAAATTGGTGTATTCTCTTTTTTTTTAAAACATTGAGAAATTAATTCAAATATTTAGAAAAACCTTTTTCTCTCAGAGAATTTTAACTCCTCCCTGTCTGTGCTTTAAAGTTGTCTCTATGCCCGATCTAATCCATGGCCTTCCACCCACTCAGGGACACATCCAGGTTTTCCATAGTCCTATGACAGACATGCTGCTAAGCAGGAATTTCAGCTTTCAGCTAGAAAAATCTGCTATGGGTTTAAAAATGTGTGTATTTTATAAAGCATAGGTTAAGCTTGAACATCACACTGAAGAAAACACACAATTAAAGGCTACTAAATTGTTTCCCCCCATTGACATAGTGACCCATAGGTTTGTTAGAGCAACAAAGGAGAC